AAAGGCTTCCATCTAAATTACTATATTCTATTAACTGTTGAATAGATGAGATAAAGAATAAAACTACACCTGTCTCATAAACTTTCTTAATACATGAATATAATGGTAATTGATTGAGTTTGGTTACTTTGGGTAAAAATTATTCATGATTATGTATTATGTGGAATTGTGTATTTTGAATGTCTGTCTTGCAGCTTTGTTTTATTATAACGATCGATAATAATATCTTGGTAGCTAGTTGAACGCTTTGATGTTTATTTTTATTCCAGCAATTACTGCTTTTGTCAAATTAACAGCCAGTTTTTGAGATAACATAATATAAGCTATGAATGAATATTTGCATATTAATGTCAGGTATATTGTTTGTTTCAACCGCTGTTAAAAGGTTGAGCATTTTAGTAGTTGATCCTGACAAAAGAAATGTCAGGATCAACTACTATATAAAAAATATATATATATATATCTCAATAATAATAATTTCATTGTGGTCTTACAAATACAATGACACTAATGGTATTCCTATATAGCCTGTGAAAAGTAAAATTGTGTTTCAGACTTGCTTGCCTAAACAGGCTAGTAAAATGTATGGGCAAGTAAGTTTAAGTCAATGGAAAAAATACCTAAATGCGTCTGCCGGTAGCTTATGCTATACGTTAAAATAAGGTTTTCATGAATGTGGTATGTATAAAGTTTCCAACCCAAAAAATGTTCACTATTAGTAGATGAAATATGCTTATTGATTGGTCAAAAATTCTTATTTGCAAAAAAATAAGTAATTCGAAACCTGTTGAATTGTTGTGGTTAGAACGCTGTATTAAATATGTTGTCTCTATAGCCGTGGTAAGAAACAAAATGATCCACTGAATTATTAAATACATTTTTCATGGTACTTGATGTGTATTGATAATGATAGTTTTCCCCATTGGTTATATAACTACAGGGTGGGTGGCAAATTCAGTGATTTGTTTCACTTCAGTTATGATTGCTTGAGGGAGTTGGGGATGATTTTGCATCTACTGAGCATGTAAATGTGTACCACATCTCAAGTAAATACTTCGTTGTGAGAGAAGAATTTTCCATCAATTGTAACGGAAAAATAAATAATATTTGTAGCTTATCTTAAATAATAATTTTGAGAGATTTGTATATTAATTACAATAATTAATGTTACAAGTAACAACCACACGAGAATGCTTCAGCCCAGTTCACAAGGTAACTGAAAACTGATGCAAAAAAAGGAGTGCATGAAGTGTTTTCCTTTCCTATGGAAATAGCATTTAATTTTCATTTTAGGCTAATGTATTGATTTGGAGGGGTGGGGGGGTGGTAACAGAAATATTACTCCAAGAATTCATGGATTACTTTTGAATTCAACTTGATAGAGAGGGGCTTTATCGGGAATATAAGCAAACTGTATTAAAAGGAGTTATTTCATGCACTGTGCACTTAGACCCCACTAACGTTTTTACACACCCACATGGTCAGCTTCAACTATATTTGTAATTGCAAATCTTTAACCCAGGAAAACTCCACTCACTCCTACCTTCTGGCAATTCTCTCTCGTGGAACATGAAATTGATTACAAGTTACTTCAGAGGGACTATCGTATTAGAAGACTACATATACAAGAAGGAGTTTAAAAGCCCAACATAAATTATGGATTGTCATATTTTTCTTCACATACTATTAACCTCAGTTGTCCTTAATAGAAAAATGGTTTTTCACATGACATTGAAGGGAAAAATAACACTTGACAATAATTTAAAAAAAAAAACCACCTTGCTGTTTGGAATATACAAATGCAACTTTTAATGAAGGCATTTCGCACTGAAATTAGTACAGGACAGAAATACATGTAGCTTAGTTGAGACATTGCTTGTTAATATTAAACATCTTGCATGACTGCATTCTTCTATATAACCTTAAACCATATGTGCTCTCCAATTTACCCATTATACTCTGCCACAGTTTGGAATTCAATTTTGCAGTCCATTAATCAATAAGAATCAACTGCATGCACACTATTTTCTCTTCCTTCTAAATAATAACACACCATTTACTTTTGCTGTTCAGATGTTGATTAAATCTTCTGCGCTTAACATTTAACTGTCATCTTATAGTGTATGAATGTAGCTCTTACATAGATCACTTTTCCGGAAGTAGCAAAACTGGATTGCAAAAATACTCCTGCTTTGTCATGGCGGAAAATACAAACATGTCAGTTTGCTGATAGTCTGTAGAAGGGAGTTTTATTTTTGTGACGTTGATTGGTACACCCAGAAGCACAATATCACGCGTGCAAGTTTATGTTACACTCCAATTTCGCATGCGCGCGCATGCGAAAAGCCGTATCTTTGACTTCCGGGAAAGTCGTCTATTCTGGTTATTTTATTCAAAATGGTAAAAATTGTGATTCAAACAATTCAAAAATAAAAACAAATGTTTTTCAAGTTTTTAAGAACAGTTACTATTATATATTTATGCATTTCGAGACTTTAATTACTTTTGAAAAGTACTTGTGTGTCCCACGCCCAATAAAACGAAATGGTCTTGATTTCCATCACATTTATTATTTCAATTCAGGTAAATGTTCTCTTATAATTCTTGACAAAAAAAACATAAATGCCAAAACTATTATTCATTCACTTGACATCCAAGCTGCGATTCCAATTTAAATAAAAGTATCAATTTATAATTCATATTTCCATGATCATTATCATTCACCTTATCTTATCAAATGTTGAGTTGTCCATGAAGTCTGTAAAAGACTTTAGTTGCCTAAGATTTCATTCACACATTTTTACTGTTAAAATTACCAGCTTTATACCCCCCCCCCCCTCTAGCAATGCTCCATTTACCAAACATTGCTTGAAACTATAAATATCTTTTTCATGCTTCCTATCAACATATTTATTTTATTTTATTGCCCAAAGCCATTTTTATTCATTTCACATATAAATGAAATTGATTTTCCAATCTTATATTTCCTTGATTATTGCCAATGGAGAGAAGAAATTGATCCAAGTGCATTTATTAAAACAGGTTGTTACCTCATTTTAGGACAATAATCTCCAATTACTACATGTATATTAATTCAATAAAATTTTCAGAAAAAGTAGTACGTTGTTTACAATAATGACTTCAGTTTCATTTTAAAGTTGAATGCCTACTAAAAATTTGTGAAAATAACAATTATAAATATTCATTTAATTCAACATAGTAAACATCATTCTTAACTATATTATTATAATTCACTATTTTGGGGAAGATATTTTCCAAAATTACTGCTTTGATTAGTTTCCACAGAACAAAATGATTAGAGCCTCTCATATATTTAAACATGCATGTATTTTTAAGTACCCAAATGTTGAAATGTATTATAATAAACATATCACCATGCAATCTTTCTTTCATTGGGTGTGAATACTATTAAATATTACTACCATAACAACAAAGTGTTTATTGCAAATGACGTCAATAAGCTTTATGTCATATGATTAATTATTCATGAAGATTTCCAATTCAGACTAACAACTGATTAATCAAAAATTAAAATAACGACAGACTCATTTATAACTGTTATGGAGTGGAAATAATTTCTCAAGGGCTTTGTTGATGCAATAGACTTCCTTGGGAATCACAACATATCACTGAAAATGACAGCAAAGTCATGCAGTTGTGTTTGAAAAAGTCATTATCTTCAATGCACGTTGTTGTTTTTACGGGCTCTGTGCCCCGTTCTATGATTACATTAGTTCTATTTTTAGTATGATTTGTATTTACGACAAACACTATTGTTTACAGCTAGTATTATCTGAAAAGTTTTTCAACAAGGACATAAATACGTTTATACGAGCCCAGAAAATTTCTTATCCTAGGAAAAGAAAGTTTCTGGCAAAATTGATGCATTTTTTATTTTAAAATTATCATATTATTAGTGTTTTTTCTCATTTTTTCTTCAAAAGTCTGACAATAGAAACATGACATGCATTTTCAACTGATGCCTTAAAAAAATGAATATTATACTCTATTATTTGTGTAATCTGTTGTTTCAGTCAGAATGCATCTTGACAGAATCTGTTCAGAAACTTGTTTCCCCCATTGAACCATGAGGGAAAATCCATTATAAACTGATGTTTTGGTTTTTCACTCATGTTATCGTTGTATTTAATTGAAAAATAATCTCTATACATTATTTGTTGCAGAAGATGAAGAGGAGGTAACATTAATGTATGCACAACATGAGGTGAGTGTAAAACACGGAATTCCTCTTAGTATTTTTAAGAAAAGTGACTAAAAGTTCCACGTTAGATAGTTGTAGTAACTTAACTCATTAACATAAGGTCTGCTTGAAAAATTCTAATTTGTATGCGCTCTGCTTGGTCTTGTTACAGAAAGTGCCTATGAAAGATTTCAGTGCAGAAGTTCGAGCTGTGGTAGATGTTGAAAAGTTCTTAAGTCAAGCGGTTTTACTATTGGATGTGCACAAGAACACCCTTGAGGGAGTTGTAGATTTATTGCTGACAAAAGCATTTGAAGATGAAAGCGAAACTACAATCAATGAAGCTAAAAGTGCTCTCTTTACTCACGATTCAGGTAACTTATTTTCACCTCTTCTCCTCGATCTCTCACTCGATATCTCAATCTCTAGATTTACTCATCTTTTCTACAAACATTTCTTGATGTACTCATCAGATTCTTCTTTACTGTAAGTAAGTGTGACATTGCACACTTACAAACCTTCAAGCTTAGTTTATTTAATCACCATAAATAGCTGTCAAACTCGTTTACATTGTATACTTGTAACACATTTGTTCCATCAGCATTAAGTTCACCATATGCAAGTACACATGCCTGTTGGGTGCCCCTGTTTTGATGAGATGTTGCCTTATGATTAAATTCTTTAATTTGTGTCATAACCCTAACCAAGGCAGCCTCCCACTCAACAGACTGTTATGTAAGTTGCGAAAGTGTACACTACTGTATAGATGGCAATTATTCGCCAAGTATTAATTTTGCTTATTTTGGTGATAGCTAAACACACTAAATTAAAATACTGTGAATATGAAATATTAGAAAACCTGAAACTCAAACCCAGTGAATATTTCACCCTTTGTGTTATATTGAGTTAATTGATATTCAAATTGTTAAGCAAACTTGTATTCTTGAAGTTGATTTGTTGAATGTCAAACCACTTTCTGTATTTACCGGTACACAGCTACTTGTAAAATGCTTTATCTTGTTGTTAGCTAGTTTGATTCTAATAAACTTAAAAGCAACACTGGTTTCACACATATCACCATAAAGTAGTCACTACTTGTCACAGGCTTCAGGCTCACTTTGAGTGCATTAGGTGCATCAGTCACCCCAATGGAGTAGACTTTGAACAATCTTGAGTGCTTATCTTGTGGTCATATTAGACTTCAAAAAGTCGTATATTTATTGTGTATTATAAATCTATGCTAGCATTTCAGCCCTGTACATGAATGAAACAAATTTCAAGAATCTATGAATAAATATTATTTAGAGGAATATATTTTCACACTGCCGACAAATATAATTGACATGATTTTTTTTCTTTGGAGAGAAATATCCAACAAAATTACTAAAACGATACTTTTCTTGAAAAAAAAGGAGAGTACCTCCTGCTGGTATTTGTCTTTGTGTCTCGTGCAGAACATGTTTGAATATTTTATAAATAACATACTGTGGAATACTTTATTTTTGCTGAAAAGGCTTTTTGGGAATTTTGTATGGAATTTATTTTCACTGATTTCTGATGAGTTTAATGTGAAATATAGGAAAAAAAGTATATTTGCTGGATTTTATTTTCACGGAATCATCAAAATAAATTCCAAGCGAAAATAAAGTATTCTACAGTATTTGCTATGTATACAAGTAGGACCCAAATCGAGAATGATACAGTGTGACTGCCTCTTCAAGTTTTGATATTAAGATGCAAAGTTACGATACATTTCTTTTCTGGTCTCTTCAGTTTAACGCAAGTTTGTTAGCTTCCCTCGAAATATCACTAAATATGTAGTGTACAAAAAAGGAATGATAATAACTTCTGATATATTGCTGTTTTTTTGCAGTCCATTCACTCGCTAGAAGTATTCAA